TTAATTACAACTATATCCGATCCATTAGTAAGTTATTATTTTTTAACACGATCTAAAAGGAGTATTGAAATATAAATGGTAAAAGTTTGCTCTCTAATCCACTCCACTCCCATAGACAATGACAGACGGGAGTCGAATCGTTACTTGTTAGGAAACTTGCTGGTGAGCATAAATCTTCTCTTCATTCAAACAGACGTATCACATCTATTAGTAACTACTCACGATCAGAAATGTCCCAAGGTTGATAAGCCAAAAACGATAACTTTTCAAAGATTGAGAAGCGGTCATTTCCTTTTGCTCATGATGAACATTGTGGCGATACTCTTCCTTCTTCTCGCGATAGACTTTATTAGTATATGACTAAAGATCGTAGATCTTTAATGTCTCAGTATAATATACGAACTACTTCCTTAAATGGTCTTTTTTTTGTAATAGTATATTTTGTTTTCTGATATTCGCTGTACAAATCAATGCATTTTTGACATTCCTACAATATCTTACAAGGGCATCCGAATACGAAACAAAACTGAAGTTGAATTTTTTTTCGATTTCGACTTTCTGTCACGTCTATAGCTCTTGATTCAATATAGTTCGGATCTATAACTAGGGATGTACCGAGACCGAGAGCTCGGTCTCGGTGCGTCTCGGTCTCGGCTCAGTCTCGGCCTCAGTCTCAGTCCGTCTCGGTCTCGGTCTGTCTCGATCTCGGTCTGTCTCGGTCTCTGTCAGTCTCGGTCTCGGTCAGTCTCGGTCTCGGTCAGTCTCGGTCTCGGTCAGTCTCGGTCTAGGTCAGTCTCGATCTCGGTCAGTCTCGGTCAGTCTCGGCCGAGAATGAACGAGACCGAGACTCTCGGGCGAGAGTCTCGGTCTTGGCTAGCCTCAACCTTGGCATTGAGTAGTGCCGATCTCGATTGTGCTTAATCTCGATCATTTCTTTATCATAGATAAGTGTGCTACTCTGTCTCGGGCGAAATTATATTTCCTTAAGCTTTTCGGCTGAGATTGACCGAGACCGAGACTGACCCAAATCGACCGAGGCCGAGCCGACTCGGACCGAGAGTCTCGGTTCAGTCTCGGTCTCGGTACATTCCTATCTATAACATACGTTGATTTGTACAGTAAATATCAAAAAACAAAAGTTATCTTTAAAAAAAAGTTCATACGTTAAAACTGAATTTATTAACCATTTGAGTATTATGTCTACATGAATATATATATATACATCAAAATGTAATCTATGTAATAGTGAAAATTGCACTTTGATATCATTTCGCGTCGTTTTTTTTTTTGAGTTATTCGAAAATCAATAAACTTGAAAAAGAAAACTGTACTTTATTCAGGACATTGATGGTTAATGGGATAAGTAAAATAATGAATGAATAAATATATTGTCGAATATATATAATAAAACAATCTCTCGACGATTAGAAATAATAACTAAATCATATTTTATATTTTAATTATACATGCATTGTTTTAAGATTTTTTTTTTTTTAATTAGAAAAAAATAGATATGTCTGTTTTTTTGACATCTTGATTAAGTTCATAATATTCAAAAGATATAATTATCCTCTAAACATTGAAATAAAAATACTTGACACCAACTTATAGAATAGATTAATATTTCAAAACTTATCAAATATCATCTATAGTTTTAAGTTTTCTTGAACTTTAAAATTAGTTTTATCTCATTAGATATACAAAAAAAAAAAAACATATTAAATAAAAGATCTATAAGTTCATTCAATCATATATGAAATGATAACTAATAAATGAACTAATCTTACAAATTTCATTATCATTGAAATTCATATCATTTTTTATAGGAAAAGAATAAATAAATGAAAATAATCAAAAGAAACAAAAAAAAAGTACAAACACTTGAAACCATTTAATGACTAATGATGTGAAACAAACAGAAGAAAAAAAAATAGTTTACTGTAGAGATATTACAAATTTCTGATTATGATAAAAATTCAAAAATATTTTGATTTTCTTCTATCCTATTATTAAAATATCAAATAAGAAAAAGTACTTTTTAATTACCAATTCTTTTAGTTTAAAAATTAAACAGATTAATTTATTATTTATCTCAAAATTGAAACAACAATATGTTTTCTAATTAAAAATCTATGTCTATGATCAAATTCGAAAATAAGTTTTCTTAAAGATAGCTATGACATTTATTTAAAAACTATCGTAAAAATGTAGTAAACTCCATAGTAATAAGCTAGCAATTCAGAATATTTACAATTCATTTTTTTTTACATAGTCTCAATTCAAAACCGATCTTTTAAATTTCATTCGTGAGCAAAACGTTATCATAAAAGATTGTTGTTTACTATTATCCATATATTGTTTTATTTGCAGAAAGTTCATTCTTTATATAATGAATTTAAACAGATATTCTACACTCTTTATCCTTTACAAAAACAAAAATAATTTTTCAACAATCCTTCATAATAATTATTTTAATACCTAACAGTCATCAATATTTATTTTATTCCTATTTACGTAGCTTATAAATCTCTAATGAGAATAATCTTGTTTATAGATTAATTAAAAACATTGTTTTTTAACTTGAAGACAGATATGATTAAGAAGATATGACAGACATTTATAGTATAAAAAGCTTAATTGAATATGCGCTTACTAAATAAAGCTTTACTTAATGGATTATTAAAATGTCAAGTCAACTTTTTAAAAATATGTTTTCGGAACAAATATAAACATAATCTATTAAATGATCCTAATCATGAAGGACTATTACAGTGCATTTCTTTATATCGCTTCAACCCTATTTTTTTTTTCTTTTGTCATAGAAAACAAAAAGGTCAATTCATCAGATTCTGTTCTATTTCATTTATTATTTAACAAATTTACATTAAAAAAAAAAAGAATCATAGTAAAATACTTTAGCTGAACACAAGATATACATATTCAATATTCTATCAATTAGATCTTTTTTGATTAAAATTTTTCTAGGTCTCTGTATGTTTGCATGTGAATATAGTTTTTTTTTTGATCTAATTGAATCTACACTAGACAATGATTCTATTATTTTTGTGACATGTACCTATATGACTATAGTTCATTCTTTATAATGTTACCTTAACCAACTATCATAAAATTGTGAATAAATAATACATGACCATATTCTAATATGCAATAGTCTATATCATTAAAATCAAATTTTTTTTTTCTACTAAAAACAAGTCGAAATGACATGGGAACTTAATAATTAAATCAAAATTTCGTGACAAAATCTATTAAATTCTCTCTGGAAAATGCAAAAAAAAAAAAAAACAAATATTATTTCTTATTCTACAAATTAGTAAAATCAAAACAAAAAAATAATGATAAATTATATAGATATATATATATTTGGAATAATTTAGATTCATTCAATTAATTGGCTTGATCAACAACATTTTCTTTCAATTGATAATGATAATCAACGTATTCGTATATGGAATATACAACGAAAAGAAATTCTCAATGAATTAATATCATCTCAAAGTAAACTTGAATATTTACATGTATATTTATTAACAAAAAATGATTTAAATAAAAAACAAGAATATTTAATTATTGGTAAATCAAAAACTGAACGTGATTTATTTATATTTGAATATACACAACCATATGATGATCAAATTGATTCATCGAATATTTCTGTTTGTTAATTATGTATTGTGACATTTATTTTATCATGTATATGAACTTCGAGATACAAAAAAAAATCAAACAAACGATCATATTAGATCAGATATATTAAAATTGTATTTGTATGTGTATGTTTTTTCTATTTTTGTTATTAAATCTCTCGATATCAAATCAAATAAAGAACATAAATTTTCATTTAATAATATTAAATATAAAAAAAAGAACAACATAATAATAATAATAATTTCTTCTTATATATATATTTATTGTTCTTTCAAACATTTGAATTTTTTATTTTTACACTATTATTATTATATATTATAATTGATATTCATAAGAATTTGACAAAAAACAAACAAATAACACAATATATGACATGAGAAAATCAATGGTAATTTTCAAAATAATTATAGTCAATGAATATTTAATCTATCCTTCTGATTAAACACACTCTATGGAATTAAAGTGCTGCTCCAAAAACACATCTGTTATTGACTGTCAATTTGATTTAATGGTAGAGACGTAAAAAGAAAATAAATGAACTCTATACTACTTGATATAGAAAATAGAAAGTGCTTATGGAAGTCTTTTTTTATTAATGAGTCTAATTTTCTTTCATAAAAAGAGTATTATATTGTTCAATATGTGAACACTTTAGTCGATATAAAAGCCGTCAAAAAATCAATTTCAGTGCTTTTTATTGTCAATACTGATCGTTCGTGGTTTTTTTTTTTTTTTTGTATTTCATTCCAATACATACTTCAATCAATTGATGTTTATGACAAAGAAAATCTGACGATGAAATATAGATGAATTGAGTTTGTTACTTGTCGAAAAACTGATTTTTTTTTCAAAATTATTATATCTCAATTAATGACATGTCTAATTGTTGTCAATCGTTTTTTTTTTCTAGTTTTCTTCTTCTTCGTATTTTGTTGTTGTTATTGTTCTATCGACTTCGTATTTTTTTTTCCCTTTCGCACAAGTAAAATAATTTGCGTGTCTATTGTCGTCATTGTTCATCGAAATGATAATGGTAACTACATCTATGATAGAAATGGTTTTTCCTCATCCTTTATTAATTCTAATATAATCATAAAATAAGAGAAAAGAGAAAGAGAGCAGACACAAGCTAACAGAAAAAAAAATGATGAAGATGATTGCAGATAGAAAAGAAAAGTTGTTATAAGGACTATCATCACTAACTCTTATTCTTTTATATAATTCTTACTTAGTTCTATTATTTTATTTCTTTTTATAATAATATTCTTATTCAATTATTAAAAAGATACAAATATATATATTCTTGATATGACATGATATTAAAATAAACAATGGATAATTTTGATATATTATCATCATATTCAACAACAGAATATGATCATTTAAATTTTGTTCATTATGAAAATATATCACCATTATCAACAATAAATGAAACAGATAATTTAATATCAATAAATACAAATGAATTAAATTGGCCTGTATTAATTTTATCTATATTAGCTATATTTGGTATTGTTGGTAATTTATTAGTATGTGTATCAATATCACTTGATAAACAATTACAAACTGTAACAAATTTTTTTCTTTTCTCATTGGCTATTGCTGATTGTCTTCTTAGTCTTGTTGTTTTACCACTTGCAATTATAAAAGATTTTCAGGGTAAGTTACAAGATTTTTTTTTTTCTTTTATTGATATATGTTTTATCATTTTGTTTTTTTTTTTCTATTTCTTTTGATATTTATGAAAGCATAAGAATAATTATTTCTATGTTAATTACACTAGAGATGAATTGAAAAAAACTAATGAAAAAAATGTTATTAAGGATGCAGTCTTCATTTTTAACACGTTAAGAACAAGTAATGTTCTAAGAAGTACTTTGTTTTTTTCCTTTATATGCATGTATGTAGGTGTAGGATTACTTTCATATTCATTAATATATATGAATAAAATTTACTGAAATTTATTATAAATGATGTTTCAATATATACATATATATCATATTTAATAGATTATCTTCAAACATGTAAATCCTTTAATGTTAAATAATCTTTTAAAAATTTCAAAAATTTTGAATAAATGAATTATCGTATAGAGTATATAATGATTTCGTATTATATATATAAAAAAAAAAAAGAAATTAATATAAATAATTCTATGATTGAAAGATTTAATATTAAATTATAAAATCTTCGTTACTAAGTTTATTTAAATAGATAATTTAATGTTACAATTTATTAATAAATAGATTAAGGTCATGTGACATTTTTTTTATAATATGATAACAAAAAAAAACAAAAAATCTCCTACAGTGTTTAATTAAGTAAATATAAATACTAGAACATAGCATGAATAAATATTTTTTGTTCTAGAGATATTTGATATATATATATATTTCTATTTCTATTTTTTTATAATAATTAGGTTCATGGCAATTACCAATAATTTTTTGTAATTTTTATGTTTTTCTTGATGTTTTATTATGTACAACATCAATATGGCATTTAACAATTGTTTCAATTGATCGTTTTCTTTATATATCACGTCCATTTCGTAGTCGAGAACGAAGTAAATTTAAAACATTTATTATTATTATTTTAATATGGACATTTTCAATTGCTATATCATGTACAATATTTATACTTGGTTTTATTGATGAAAATAATATATTAGTAATTAATCATGATCATAAACGATTATGTACATTAAATAATCGTTCATTTATAATATATGGTTCAATAATATGTTTTTGTGTACCATGTATATTAATGCTTGTTACATATTCATTAACAATTCGACGTCTACAAAAAGAAGCAGCAAAATGTTATTCAGATCCTGATGATCATTCAATAATGATGACACAAACATCAAATCGTTTAAGACGACATAAATCAACATCAAAAATTCGATCATCATCACATAATTATAAAAAAAAATTATTAAATGAATTAAATAGTTCAACATCAATACCAACACCAACATCATCACGTTCAACAACATTACTTGTAACTGATAATAAATCAAATCATCTTGAATGGCCGTAGGTTTTTTATTTCATTTTTTTTTTAGCAAAAAAATTACTATTAAACTTTCTTGTAACTTATTTATATAGAATCCCATGAGAGATTATTCTTTAGTTATATATATATATATATTTATTCTATTCCCAATGAAAACTCATTCAAAGAAAAATACTAAAAGAATATAAATGAAACCTCAGTTGCATATTAATATTGATCTTGTTATGATTTATTTCTTGTTTGTTTTTTTTAGTAAATCATCAAGATCATCATTAACTTCAAATACACCAAGTACAAATCAACGTTCATTTCTTCATAATACATTTGTACAAAAAGCAGTTCATGCATTTAAAGGTGGTACAGAAACTACAAGTGAACGTCGAGCAATGAAAGTTTTAGGAATTGTATTTTTTGTTTTTCTTATTGCTTGGCTTCCATTCTCAATATTAAATATTCTTTCAGTTGTTTGTCCATCATGTGGTATACAAATATCTTTATTAAATTTAACTAGTTGGCTTGGTTATATTTCATCAAATTTAAATCCAGTAAATAAATAAAAGTTTTCTTAATTAATTAATATTTTCTTTTTGTTTTTTTTTTTATTGTAGATTATCTATACAGCATTTAATGTTCGATTTCGTCGTGCTTTTGTATCGATATTAACATGTCAATTAAATTATTTTTCTCACAAACGTAAACGTAATAATTTATATATATTTATTTCTTCAAATAATAATCAATCATCAATGTCTACTGATCAACAACAACGATTTTTTTCTTTACATCGTTCACCTAAAAAAAGGAATAGTTTTACTTAAAATTTTTTCTTTCTATTTTTTTTTTTTTTTGTTTAATGCATGTTTAAATGCGTTCTTTTCATATATACAAATGTTGATGAAGATTGATTTCAAAAGAAAAAAAAAAAAGAAATATAAAAAATATAAAAAAGGAAAAAAAGAAAGTAAGAAATAAGAGAGTATTTTTGTCAATCAATATTTGTCTTAGACACAACATTTGTCAGGTGAAACTTGTTAATGTAAAAAATAAATTTAAGTATTGATAAGCAATGGGAGTTGTCGTTTCAAGTAAAATTAGACAAATATGTTCACCTTATGATGAACCATCAGCTCGAATAATAATTGTTGGTCTTGATTCAGCTGGTAAAACAACATTAGTACAAAGATTTAAAAATTTAGTTGATTTACAATTGGATATACATGCATCTTTTATTGAATCTATTACAACGGAACCAACATTTGTTTATCAAGTTGAAAATATTTATCCACGTCTTTCACCAATATCATTTAATATATGGGATTTAGGTGGACAAGAAAAAACAAGAGAATTATGGAAATTTTATCTAACTGATATTCAGGGTATGATAAAAAACAAGATATTTAAGACTTCATTATAGAATATGTCAAGTTCTCATACATCCTGAACTTTAAAGATTTTTTTTTTGTTTTTCGCACTATAAAGTTTTATCAATAATATTTTTTTCCCCCCGAATTTATGACACATACTTGACTACAGACAAAAATAATTTTAAAATTACGTCTGTCTACTCAAGTATGTATTTTAAATCTGAAAAAAAGAAATTTATAAAGTTAAACAGACGAAGAAAAAAAAAAAGAAATTCAAGATTTTTTTGAAAATTAGATAGACATTTTTTTTTCTCGATTAATCAGTACACTCTATTTAATCATGCACACAAAGTGAAGAAAAAAAAAATGTAGCGGAAATTTTAAGTTGGATATATTTTATAAGTAGATAATGTGTTATAGGAATAAAAAAAAAGGAATTTTTATATTAAAAATTCAAAAATAATCAAATTATTTTCATTATCTTTAAGATAGATATGAAATAATTATAAAATTTAATTAATCAATTTTGTAATGAGACTTCATTAGAGTCTAAATTTTAGATTTACAATAGACTTAATTCTTTTCGAAATGATATATATTAATTTACTGTATTTTCATCATTATGATTAGTTTTTTTTTAAATTTTAATATAAAATCGTATTGATAGTATAGTATCAAAAGATTTACAATCTATATTTATTCTTATTGAATCAATATAATGTTCCATTTTCAAATTGTACTCTTTGAAAAATATCCAAAATGTCAATATTATTAGATATAACTTATCATAAAAAGAAATAACCAATACTCGAAACTTGTCAAGCTTCGAACAATAAACTACGAGTAATATTTATCATACTTTGTTTAACTTTATACATATGACATTGAATGTTTTCATTGCAATGAAAATTCGAGTCACATAGAAAGACAAACTTAACATGAAATTTATGATCTCGCATCGTAATAGTCGGATGTAAAAAAACTAAAAAATATATTTATTTCTACCAACACTCTTTAATTATTTTATTTAAAACGGACATAAGACTATGACTTCTATAATTATTAAATAGTATAATTATAAGATGTATAGATCAATTTTAAAATGCATTAGAAAATAGTGTACGTAATATTCTTAAATGTTGAAATGTAAATGAGTTTAACATTCTAAGGTCGAGATGAACGCATATATTGCAAACATCATTTGTCATTCGAAATAAGTAGTTTATATCGTTTCCAGTCTGCCTTTTTTTCTTTTTTTAGAAATAATTATAATTGATATAATTTTCTATTCTCGTTTTTTTCTTTTTTTGATCCAGGTGTAGTGTTTGTTATTGATTGTCATGATGCCCAACGAATAAAAGTTGCAAAAAAAGAACTATTAAATCTATCGAAGAAATTAGGTCGATCATCGATTATTCCAATAGTTATTGCTGCTAATAAACAAGATCTACCATGTTTGTTTACACGTGATTTTTTTCTTTTTTTGTTTTTTGTATCATAGATAAATTCATATGTGATATTTTTTTTTGTTTTAGATTCATTAAGAAAAGAAGAACTTATTGAAGCATTATCATTACCAAAAATACAATCTAATGAATGGAAAGTATTTGAAATGAGTGCTCATACTGGTAAAATATTATTCAATAAGTAAACATTTCAATATATTTTTATCATAGGAGGTGGTGTAATGGAAATGTTTTCTTATCTATCTCAATTTATTCATACACATCATCAATAAAAATTATTATGTTTAATGTTTGTTTGTTAAGTCTTTCAAAAAATGATGAATATATCCATTTTTTTTTAAAATTTTTGTGTTTTAATAATATATCTTTGTGTATTATTTGTTTGACAATCTTTTGCAATTTGATCAATTGTTTTAAAAAATTCTTTTTTTTCATCAAATTTTGTTAAAACTATATTATGTAAATTTTTATGTGATGTTGGTAAAAATGAAAATATATCTCGTTTTTTTAATAATTTTTTTGTTATTGAACCTGAAAATAATGTTTGAGATAATTTACCAAATATTTCTGCTAATAAAGATGATAACATAGCTAATATTAATAAAATAATATAACCAAATATAATTAATAATGGCCATATTATTGTATCTATTGTTGTTAACATTGTTATCATATAAAATTCATGACATATTATATTATTTTTATTTGTATTGAATGCTGATTGTACACAAAAATTAATATGATCATTAGGAAAAACTTGTACATGTGGTAATTCATTACTAGGTTTAGCTAGATTATATAGAGCATAAGATGTATTATCTAATGTTGAATTTGAAAAACGATTAAATTGAATAAGAAGTAAATTTTGTAGAGCATCAATAGTACAATTTGTTGTTGAAGATTCAAATTGTAGTTGAAAATCATGATAAGTATGACCAATAAATGATGGATGTATGAGTATTGGACATATATTTGCCATAGTTTTATCGATAATAGAACACAATAATAATAGGATAGAAAAGAAGAAGAAGAAGAAGCAGAGCATTAATGTGTATATGAAAGATTGATCAAGTGTGACTGATCATTTCATCGATTATAAATATAAATGTCAATAAACAAAAGAATATCAACGATTATTATCATCAATCAATGCATTAATACAATCAATATGTTTTATTCAAAATCATTTTAGGGTAAACTTATCTAACGGATTATTATTGTTTTATTAATACGTTTTTCTTCTTTCTTTATTCACGTCACATTGACAATAACTATGATTATAACTAATGTTCTACGTAGTTACTATCCATAGAATATGAATAATGAATTTAAAATACAATATGAAACTATTTGAACTTTTTTTATTTTTATTTCAAAATAATGAAAAAACAAAACAAACATCATAAAATTAAAATCAATCATCGGAAAATTTTGAATGTTTTGAAGAAAATTTCCATGTAGAAAAATCTATATGATCAATTATATTGAAAAAAACTTCAACAAATATTAATATGATTATAATCCATTCAAGACGTACATGTTTTTTTTCATTTAAACTTGCTTGAATAACTGATATAAGTTCAAGTGAAAAATTTAAACGTTCATTTAAAACTTTTGTTCGTTTAGCAATTGTAAAATAATTAAAAACTTTTTTATAAAGACTAAAAAAAATTAAAAAACAAAAAAAGAAAAATTTATCATATACATATATATATTTATTTTAAATTACTTTTCTAATCGACTATTTGACCAATAGAAATCAGGTGTATCAAGAAAGTCTAAAGTAAAAAAACTAAAGGTTAGAAGAAAAAAAAAACATTTCTTGTTCTATGTTCGATATAAAAAGTTAAAATGTAAATATCATATCTACAATAGATAATGACTTATTTTCATATCCTTGGTAAACATGACACGATATTGCAAAAAAAAAAAAAACCGAGGACGTGATTATATGCATTTTTTTTTCTTCTGTCTTGAAAATATGATGAATAGTACCAAACAATAGATACATTGTATTCTATTAGCTAGGATACAATGATTCTTTTTAGCTTTAAATTGACCTCTGTTAGACAAATACTAGCTACTTGAGAAAGATAAACAAATATAAAGGTTATTTAGGAGTAATTCTATTACAGATAAGCAAATCTTCAAACTTGACGTGTTATTGAGTGTGAAAAAATTTTGTCCTTTTTTTTTGTTCGACGATTTTTAATTAGGCTATCAGTATGTTGGAACAGTCAAAAGAATATTTTTATGGAGAAAACTTAAAGAAAACAAAGTAGATTTCTTTAATTTTCAAATAGTATTGAAGGAACATATCCAACTGTCGAATATACTATTCGACTCATCTTTTTGATTGTGAATAGAGCTCAATGAAGTTAAGAAAACTCTATGATGGAAGTGTTGGTAAAAAGAAGACATATTCATATCTTCATCCTTGTTTTTAAGACATATCAAATGATTCAAAATTGTCATTCGTACCTTCTCGGAGTAAAGCAAAAACAAAAAATTCGATTTTCTTATATCTATATAGTAATAAGATCTCCGATTAGCTACACCATAGGCATGAATTCTTTTGAGTTCTACTCACAGCCGAACGTCATCTGACAAACTATGATTTTCAAGAGACAATTCAATGAAAATTTTTGAATCTTTTAAAATATTTCTTTAAAACTAAAAAAAAGAAAAAACAATCTATTATATTTATTTATACCATGACTTAGATTAACAGCATGTTTAAGTGAATAAAGTTCACCACTTTTACGTTGCATTAAACCATGTGCTATTTTAATATGTTTTTCTTGTTTTAAACGATTTGCTAAATCATGAACAAATTTAGCTTCATTATCAAGTAAACCTTCCCAAATTCCTATTTAAAAATCAAAATTTTGTATACAAAAAAAAGTATTATTAAATTTATTCTACCTAATTTAACTGAAAGTGCAAGTGCATTTGAAAATGTATATTTATCAAGTAATTGTTCATTTTCAGATTGACGATTTAATTTAATAATATCATTATTAAGTGTACTTACTGTTGAAACTTGAATAAAATTCATAATTTCTTTTTCATTATTAATTAAATCTTGTGGATATTGATTATCACTAACTGCATCAATCAAAAAGACACAAACAAAAAAAAAAAAATTCTTTTTTTTTACAACAACAAAAAAAATTTACTTCATTTAAAATAAATTTTTCATCATCATTTTTAACATTCCAAAAAATTACAGCACCATCATCAAATATAAATGCTTGACTTTTTTCTTTTGTTTCACATTCTATTTGTATACATAAAATATCTATTATATTAGATATTGATATTAATTGAAATCGTTTTGATAATGAAATAAAACGTTGTTTTAAACGATCTAAATCATACCAATCAGCAGTAGCATAAGCAATAACATTATAATATTGTTCTTCACGATGATTTAATAGATTTGTTTCTCTCCATGTTGGTTTTTTTCTTGGTACACGTTTTAATACAGGTAATTTCATTGGTAATGATGATTTTGATGATATATCATGTGATAATGATATTTGTTTACTATAAGAACATTTTAATGGATGTCTTGTTGATAATGATTGAAATTTTATTGATGATTGAGAAATTAGACTACTAAATTTTATTGTCTTATCAAATGAATGAATTAAACGAAAAAACATCTGAAATAAAAATATTCAAGAATCTTTGGAGATTTTTGTTTTTTTTAATTTATTAAGTTTAGAAAATTTATATTTCATGTAAAGAAATATTAAACATATCTTTTTGAATAATAATTAATGTTCGAACAAAAAAAAAAGGTTCTTATCTATTAAGAAGCATATTTATGCAAGTTCATTAAGTGCTTTTACATGATATATACACACACACACCCATTTTCAGCATCATTCTATTCTATGCATATATATGCAATCTACGCGTATGAATTATATGTTAGAACGAAAAATTGTACATTTGACCTGAATTAAAGTTTTTAAAAAAAGAATTGTTTTAGTATATAAATAACGTCATCGAATCGCCTCATGTGTACTTCAATGGTTTTGTTTTATCCATTTATATGTTGTTATCGTTTGCTTGATTATTTCCTATTGGTTCAAGTTCAGATCTCTTTCATCTAATGTATCAATGGTGATGGTGTCTTCATATCTTTAACAAATAATATATAGAGAAGAATTGGAAAATAATGTGTGCATTCTACTGACATCTGTTGATATGAAAAAAAGTTCGATTAAAAGAAAAAAAAAAAAAACAAAACAAAATATGTGAAAGTATTCTTTTTCTGACTCATGTAAAAATCTGCTGTTCTTCAATTATTTATTTCATGTTGCTTTTCGTTTAATTTAAAAAATGCTTCATTTTGTTTATCTTCAAATATTACACCGAGTGAATCCTTGATATCCTAAGATTTTTTTTTTCTTTTTTTTTTTTTTTTTTGGAAACATGATGCTGGATAAAATATTAAAAATTGCTATATATTTCATATACTTTTAGTAAAGTAGATAAATGATGCTAAGAATAAACACATTAAAAAAAAAAAAAGAAAAAAGAATGAAATAATTGCATACCAACAACAATATTATCATAAAAGGTGTTCCTAAAGTGCTCTTTTGCTTATTGTATGTATGGCATGCAGTTAAAAGCCTAACTACAGAGAAAAAGACAAAAAGAAATCTATTAAGACATTGGTAACAACACACAAGAAATGAAATGAGAGAGAAAAGACTAGATTTAAGAACAACAAAAAACAAAAAAAAAAAAAGATATCATATATCATTGTTTTTATTTTTGTTGTTGTTTGTTGCTTTTATTGTTATTATTATTATTATTATTATTATTATGATCATTATTGATGATGTTTCCATTTGAGACGTTTAACTATTCGTTGAATACCACATAATTGACATTCTATTCTCCATATATGATCCGATTTAATTAAATGTGTTTGTGCCGTTTGACATATTAAACATGTAACATAATCATCAAGAAATTTTCGAAGTACATTATCAAATATTATTTTTGTTGTACGAATATTTAATATTAATTGTTCACGTTGATTTATTAATGATTGACATGAATAATATTGATTAATATATTGTTGAAATAGATATGAATCACGTTTTAATGAATTAAATAAACGTATATAAGATTTCCAATTGATAATTATTGTACGTGATTGATTAATAATTAAATCAGCATGTGGTATTGATATTGGTATTTGACAACGTGAAATCATTTCTGTTCGATTACGTTGATGTTGTTCAGTACAACGTGCTAAAAGACGATCATAATCATAAAGTAAATCAATTGAATTTGATATTAATGGTAATGAAAGAAGATTTTCATTATTATTATTATTATTATTAATAGATATTTTCTCTTCTTCTTGTACTTCTTCTTCTTCTTCTTGTTTGTTTTCTTCAACTTTTATTTGTTCATCAACTGGTAATGTTATAATATTATCTTCAATAATTGATGATGTTCGACGACTTGATATAGATGAATTTGATATTGATGATGTTGATTTTCGTCGAAAAAAACGTTTAATATGACTAAATAATTTTCTTTCAAACCATGATGTTGTATTTGTTGTTATTGTTGTTGATGATGATGATGAAGATATCGAAGGTGTCCAACTATTTCGTCTATCATATTGTGTAGTTAAAATATTATCCTTCATAATTAAATGAGGAAAAAAATCAACATCGACAGACATCTAAAACAAAAAAATAATTTTTTTTTTTTATAAAGTCGAAGTTTGAGTAGAAATATATTTTACATAAATTTACTTGATTTCTGTTTTTTTACTCCTTTATATATAGTTATATATATATACATCCATCCATCTCTCTTCTCTCTCTCGTTTCTTCTACGTCTTCACTCATTGAATACATCAGCCGAGAAGAAAAAAAAAGTAAGAAAGAAAAAGGAAGAGAGAGAGAAAGAAAACAAAAATACACACAAACCATAAATCTTTACTGGTTTGTCAGCTGTTTCATTATTCAATTGGAAATGTAAGAATAGAAAATAACCAACAAGGGTAACCCACTATTGAAAATATAATGATGCAATTCTAATAAAAATAAAGAAAAAGAAAAAAAGAGCTGGATATAGATAGAATTGAACTGTAGAATAATGAGATGCGTTCTTTTATTTCTTAATATTGTCTTCTTCGTATATTTATATTCGTACGATAAGAGCAAAAGACCGAATTTTTTAGACGGCATTCATTATATGTCCTTCCTTTTCATTCCACAGTCGAATACACTCAACAACACCTCTGAAGGATACGTAAAAATGTGCGTTGGTGTCAGTGATGGTTATGGTGCGATAGTATGACAGAAGAGAAGAAAAAAAAACAATGCAATGTTTGCATATTATATTACTAAAAAATAAGTGAAATATATGCTTGGAAAGTATAGAAAAAAATAAAAATAAAAGAAATTGTAGATTGAGTATACTGGAATATTTAACATTCAACGTTCTTTCTGTTTATCATAATTTAATTAATTCCATTTCTTTGCATCTGATATTCATATTTATCAAGATCATTTTGCATGTTTTTATCAATGTGAAAATTAGATACCATCTGCCCCTTGTCGTACACATAGTGCTTAACCCATTAGAGTACTTTGATGTTAGGATAATATCTTGTCTCAAGGACAAACACGTATATGAAATTGTGCGCATCGTTGTCATTTACTTTTTTTTTCTTCTTCGGACAAAGAAAAAAAGAAAAAAAAAAGAACAAGGTGATTATCAGTTAATTACTTATTCTGAATTTTCCATCGAACAATTGATATTAAGAAAGAAAAATCAAGTAACAATCGTTATATTAGTTATTACGTGAATCAACCATCTGTTAATGCTGACATTGAAAGAGCAAAAAAAGAATATGATGTATTGCTACAGTTCTATAATAATAAAAAAAAAATTGACCAGATGTTGAAATTTATTTCTCGTTAACAATTTCGAAGAAAAATAAGGCAAATAAATAACTACCTCAAACTAGTTTTTTTTTTTTTATTCTTCTATATCAATATAAGATGAAAGTTGAGAATAAACATTATAGTCTAATAACATAGCTTTTCTTATTAACGTTTTTTAAGTATTGCTACTATGAATATACATTAGTATTTTTTCTCTAAGTTTACGGTTGTTCTAAATTACAAGTACCATTTTTTTTTCTCTTCAAATCTACACTGACACATTTTCTTTTCACAAGAATAAATTGCTTTCAAAGAAAAAAAAAAAAAAGTCACCACTCAGCGCAAACAAATAGATTTTAATTCTTTTTGTTGGATTGTAGAACGATATTCGTATTTCTTTTTACTAGAATAATATATTCAAATTTATTGGTACAGTAAACACATTCATTTTTAGATACTTATTACATTCATTATATATTCTTCTGTTTTCTTTTTTTTTTGCAAAGGTAATTTATGACAATTCTCTATTTTTTTTATTGTCCTCTATCAATGGTGAAAATAAAATTATTTTTGATAATATCCATATAAATCATTGTTGAATAGGTTTATTAAAATTGCAAGTAGAATGATGAATTTGAGAAAATTTTATTCTCAAAAAAAAAGCACTTAGTTTCTATATCTATTTCAATGATCAACTATTATCAACCTAGATAAATGTTATTAAGAACATTTTGTTTGATAAAAAATGATTGCCTAAAGCACATCAAAGCAAGATTTTACTAATGCAAATAAAAGATAAGCTAAATAAGTTAAAATATTTGACAAGTATATTGAATATGACAAACATAACAGTATAAATCTATGGACTTCGGAACAATAGGAATGTAAAGATTTATTTTCATTATTTATTTATTTATTTACGTGCTATATATAAATATCAATCGAATTGAAAGAAATTTGTTAAAAAACATTAAAAAATAAAAATTTTATCTAATGAAAAATCTTATAATAAGACTCTTTTCTATTGAAATAGATGTGTTTAGATCAATTAAATATTTGAAAAAATTTTTTTTTTCTCTAATATTTAACTAAGACTATCTGGTTTTCACACGCTTTTTTTTTTTATTTATAAATATATAGCGGAATGATAAATTTTTAATATTTTTCCCTGAATAAGTCTTATTCATCTACTATTCATTATATCTGATAATTACACCGTGATGACGTCAATTAGATAGCTTAATACTAGTCGTATGACATTATATCTTACATGGAAAAAGCAAAAAGTAAAGGGTATAGTCATATCAATTTTCAAATAAAGTCAATACAATGCTGAGTACATTCATTATCTGCAAAGTACTTTAAACTAAATAAAACTAATTTCTCATAGATTTTATTGAAAAGAAAAAAAAAAAAAAGATTTTATCAAATACCTTTTTAAAGTACTTTGCTATTCATAGTTTATCCCTAGAAACAGACTCATAAAATGGTTGAAATATGAAATTAAAAAAAAAATGTCGTAATTTCAATACATCGCAATAATAATCAAGTCTAATCAAATATTAAGAAATGATTAAAATATATTTATGATTGGATAATAACTCACATTTTCTACCATAATTTTCTTGATAAGCAACAAGTCATTCTATAATTAATAATTAGATATATGCTGAAAACTTCTTGTTGATAATAAGACAGTTACTTTTGTTTAATTATCATAGTATATATATGCACTGATGAGTACTAAAAAGAAAAACAATCTCTCAAGGATTATAAGAACATAAAGCCAAGGCTATATGAATATATTTAATAAATTACTCGAAAAAAAATATGTCCTCAAAAATTTTTTTTGTAACATAACAATATATTTTATTGACAATATCAATTGCAATAGATCTATAATTAAATAATTCAAAGATTTCTATATTATTCTTGATTATTATATTTTTCATATTGTCTTATCATACTATCGAATGTTTAATATGAATTTTTAATTTCTTTAATGTTTTTATGATTATTCATTTTGAATTCTTCTTTAATTCATATTTGTCTATTGTATTCATTATCATTGATAATATCTTAAATTTTATCTTATATAATATAAAAGAAGAAAAAAAACCGACAGGAACAAATTTTCATTTTATTTTCAATTTCAAACGCCCATCCACCTTCAACTAAAGCACATCGTCATCAAACATTTCCTACTGTTTCAATACCTACATACATATGCACATACATTGCAACACAACATCAATTGAAAGAAGAAAAAAAAAAGGCAATAGTAGTATTAATATAAAAATAAAGTCATTCATTTGAGACAAAAAAGAAGAGAAGAAAAAAACGAGGACAATGAAGAATATATGTATTAGAAGAAAGAAAGAAAGATGTATCGAAATGGGAATAATAAAGTCAAGTGCATGGCACAAGAAAAGAAAAACCAATCGGTATATATATATATATGTTCATACACACCCGGATGAAGTATCTGCAACTGTTTTGTGTAACTCAATACTTTCTCTGTATATATATATATATATGTACGCAAACAAGAAAAAAAAAACAAAAAAAGCAGTCGGAAAATTAGCATTAAAGAAAACTAATCTAAACAGAATAATCTTCTTACTCTTATCCTATATATTAGCAGTGATACAAAATTGATCTCAATATAGACTAGAAAACATAACAAAAGACAACATCAATGAAGAAATAAAATAGATAGAGCTATCTATTATATATATAGCTATTCAATTTCTTTTGTCTTGTTTCATTGAGAATGATACGAACGTGCATATAAAACATATAGGGCGGAAGTAAAATTAGTAGATTTGGATACATACATGTTGTAAACTTCTATCTACTGACTAAAACTGTATTTGACTTCAATCTCCGATGATTTCACTTAACAAATAACAATAATAAAAATACACATACATATATTAAAAAACCCAAAACAAAAAGAGAGAGAGAGTGAGAGAGAAAATACAAACAACATCTCTCAAATCATTCGATTGATGTTATGGATGTATTTAATTGTTGTCGTCTTGAACTTTTGGCATTAGTAAGAAATAATTCTTGAATATTTTGTTTTAATATATTTAAATTAACTTCCATTAAAGCTTTAAACAAAAAAAAAAGAGACAAAACAAATAAATTAGTTTTTAAATAGAGTAATATTTTTCTTTTTTTTTTTTTTTTGTTTACCTTCATTTATTTTCGATTCTTTTTTTAATATACATATAAGTGCTGTTGTTGGATTGATATCTTTTAAATACAGTATAAGACCAATTGAAAGTTCAATTGTACAAAAGGACATTGAATCAAGCACCGAGCTGTTACTTGTTCTACAAAAAGAAGAAAAGAAAAAAAATGACATTTTCAATATACTTTTATTTCTTCCGGGAAACTGTAAATTCAAATCTCTTGTGAACCTTGAAGCATGTATATCTATAAATATAGGATGACTGCCTAAAGGCATAAAGACATATTCATATAAGCATTGATCTTTTAGTTCATTATTAATAATGCCTTGAATTCTCAATAGGTTTGAGTGACAAATGAAGACAAGAGACAAATCACTCATTGAACTCAACAAATCAGAGAAAAATCTATTATTTATCATTTTAGATATTGAATGCAACTATATATCTATTCTCATGAGTATAAAAAAAAAAAATTCATTTATATATATATATATCTTCTTCATGAAATATTATATATGATAGTTTTCAATACTATCAATCATATTTCAATATGAAATTATAAATATAAATCTAAATTTATATTCTAA